CCTTAAACTTCTCTCATCCTAAGGTTTTTAACTCTACGTTGGATCTCTAATTGATAAAAGTTGTCAGGCTTGCTCTTCTTTGTTAGTTTGTGTCTTTTCAGGAATTTCTCCATTTCATCTAAGTTTTCAAAATATGTTCTAATAAAAATTGTTCATAATATATACTGTGTTTTTAATATCAGTAGACTTAAGTGTAATGTTATACCTTTGATTATTAATTTTGATTTTTTCCCTCTACCCCCCTAACCCCCCACCCCCCATCTCTCAATTTTTCCTGATCAGTTTGGCTAGAAGAGGTTTATCACTTTTATACATCTTTTTAAAGACTCACTTTTGGTTTTACCTTATCTTTTGTTTTTCTTTTCTCTATTTTATTGAGTTTCACCTTTGTCTTTATTATTTCCCTACTTCTACTTACTACGGGCTTAATTTTTTCTTAGTTCCCAGGTTCTTCAGTGAAAGCAAAGTAATTGACTTGGGACCTTTCTTAGATGCTTCATGCTGTCAATTCCCCTCTAAGTACCACTTTAGTGGCATCTCACAAAACTTCCATCTTGTTTTCTCTTTTTCATTCCATTCCTCAAATCTTGTAATTTTACCTTTGGGTTTCTTCTTTGATCCATCATTTATGTTTTGTAAATTTTTTCCAGAGATTTTTCCATGTTAATTCCTACTTTAATCCCATGGTGGTCTGAAGCTGTGTTTTGTATGACTTGAATCCTTTAAAACGTATTGAAATGTGTTTTGTGGTCTGTCTTGGTCAATGCTGTATGTGCCTTTGAGAAGACTGTGGACTCCGCTGTTGTGTCCAGACTACTGACTGCTTCATAAACTCAGATCAGAGGGCCTTTCTCACTACAATGTCTGGGGATACTTAGTGCTCAACAAATACTATCAGAGCTTTTGGAGCTGGGAGCTGGGAGCCAATTGTGACTCCTGGGAACACTCCAGAACATTTCCTTTCCCTAAGATCATACTGTGATAGTTAGGTTTATTGCGCCAACCTGGACAATAGGAACACGTGGGATTAATCAGGTTGAAGCCTGATTGGAGGTTAAAGAGATAAATGGCTCTGCAAGGCCCGCCCCTCTCTGTCTTGCTTTCTGATGATTGGAGCGTGCTGGGGCATGCTGCTGCTTTAGCTAGTTCTCTGCCTCAACTTGTAAGCTACACTACCTGTGGTCTAAGTCAACCCATGGATCCTGTTGCTAAAGCTTGAGACTCCTTTGAGACCTGCTTTGCCACGCTACTGGTGTGTACATTACTTGAGCTTGAGGCTAGTGGATCCTGTCGCCTTGCATTACTTGAATTTGATATCTCATCTGGGCCTATTATGCTAAGCTTCTGGGCTACTGACTGTTGGTGAACTGCCCTGCTGTTTGCTGCCTGTGGGAACACTCTGCTTGCCTTGCCTGAGGGAGGGCTCTGCCATCTGCTTCCTTGACCTTGGACCCAGTAGCCCCCATGAGTTGAAAGACTTCCATTAACTGTTCCATGGAAGTGAGTTGAACTGAACTTTCTGTATTGCTGTGTGGACTAATTAGATGTTATATTCCTTCTTTCTGTATAAATATATCTAATCATAAGTGTCCTGGTTTTCTTTCTCTAGAGAACCCTGCCTAACACACATGCTTATCTATCAATATGTCACCTGAGGCCTCTGAATCTATATATTTTACAAAATTTCTACCTTTGGAAAATTCTTAGTTTAATGCCACCCAGGAGGACTGTGGTTTTTTTAGGTACCATATATACAATGAATAAGGAGGACTGAAGAAGAATTGGTGCCTTTGAATGATGGTACTGGCAACGTGTATTGACTATGTCATGGACTGTCAGTAGAACAAGCAAATCTGTCTGGAAGGAAGTACAGCCAGAAAGCTCCTTAGAATCAAGGGTGGTGAGATTGCTCTCACACATGTTGAGCATTTTATCAGGAGGGACCAGTCCCTGAAGGATATCATGCTGGTAAAGTGAGGGTCAGTGAAAAAGAGGAAGGTTCGCAATGAGGTGGGTGGACGTGGTGGCTGCAAAGGTGGGCTCCAACAGCAGTGATGGTGAGGGTGGCATAGGCCTGAGTGCTGCTTCCTTCCGCTGCACCGAGGATGGCTCTGAGCAGTCAAAACCCATTAGATGGCATCTAACGACAATGAGAGGAAGCACCTGTCTTAGAGGCAGACTGGAGACCTGCTTATTCTGCAAGTGACAAAGGCTGGCATCCTCCCTATGATCAGGAAGAATGCCTAATCTTCATCGAGTACTGGCATGGAGGTGCCAGCCTCGTACTAAGAACTTCTCGTGAATTCACTCCTTGCGTCCTCGTCATGGATCTCTGAGGTCAGTGCAGCTGTCCACACTGTACAGACAAGGAAAGCAAGGCCACTTCAGTGACTCAAGGTGCTCGATAAGAATTGAACTAACTACAAGCTTTTCTTTCTTGGCATGTTTTAATTTGTTCTTCGTCAGTGGCTTGATGTTGTTGCTGTTTTGTTGTACATTGTTGCTTGGTTTCGCTCTGTCTTGTTTTTGTGCATGTTGTTGTCTCCGCAGGTCTCTCTGGATAGGACAGGCTGGATGAACAATCTGGAAGAGAAAACGAGACTGACAGTTCTGGGGGGGACATGGGAGAGGGGAAGGTGGGGGGAAGGGAAGAGGTGTTAACAACCCCAGGGACAAGGGAACAATAAGCCATCCAAATTGGTGGGGAGGTGGGTGTGGGAGACCTGGTAAGGCATGATCAAGGGGAATGTAACAAAGAGGAAGTGCTGAAATCCTGGTGAGGACTGAGCATGATAGTGGGACAGGAGGA